AGCCAGTAAAAGTCTGATAAATCAATTTCAAGTTAAAAATCAGTGTTTTTTAAATGCATTCTGGCAAGGCACTCCGGGCTGCCATCTGAGCTACAGCTAACATTGGTTCAGCTTGTTAATCTGAAAACTTTTAATGACTAAAATCCTTCATTCAATTAGAAGCTAAAGTATAAGAAACTCTAAATGAAACTGTTTCTGCCTCTAAAAAAATGGTGTTGTGCAACCCATTTTTGCGGACACAGCAGGAGTCCGAGAGCCAAGCTACTGCAAATAACATTAGCTCAGTTTTATGGTTAAGGTTTCTTCATTGATGTTTTTACTTTTAGCTGAATTGTCCGAGGAAGTGTCCTCCAAACAGCCAGTTATAAAAGCCAGAAAAAGTCTAGTAAATCAGTGTCATTTTTTTTAATGGTCTTTTTTTGTGGACCGCTAGCCGAGCTGCACTTAACTTTAGCTCAGCTTGTTTCTCTGATGGTTTCAGACTCCTTCATCCAGTTAAAAAACTTACGCACTGCAAAAAAAAGATCCTCTATAAATGTTTCGCTGTCCGATGTGCGAGCTTAAAACCTGCACATTGATTGGCTGTTGTTGCATTCACTTCCACTGTGACGGGAATTCAGATGTTTCTCTATTCAGTAAAAATATCCTCATGAAATTAATCACGATTCTGTATGGAAAACGTTTTAGCACCCGCGCCCCAAACAAAGAGAAGTTTTTTTTTTTTTTTTAAAGTGCCCCTCACATTTCAAACTGGGATTTCTTCTGTGGTTAAATGTTGAACCTTATGAGGTGGTCGAGCTTTCCAACACGAACACGTCTCCTAACATACCAAATGACTTGTAAAGCTATTGTACATACGTGTAATGAAGTCAGTGATCTGAATCTGAACCTCTTCCATCATTCACCTTCGTCTTCCCGTTTACCAAAAGTCTGTTTGCTGCTATCGTGTACATACTCTATGACGATTACACAGAGAGACCCAAATGACCACGTTCATACTGACCATAGATCATGAAGCTATTTTACACTTAACAGATTATTCTTATAGCGACTTTTTTGTATTTCTGTTTGTGTGTAGACCATTTTGTGTGTTTCTGTGTCATGTTTGTAGGTTTGAAGGAGTTTGTAAGAAATGGGTTTAAAGAGTTCCCGCCGAGACGTTCCCACGCTGTCCCTAATTTTCAGATATTTCCTCAACAGAAAAAAAAAAGCTGGAGAAGATTAAACTCATTAATCTTTATTTGTAAAGCGCCAATTCATAACAAGAGTTACCTCGAGACTTAAAGATCAGACGTGATAATATGCAGGAAGGATTCCTCCTTTGTATTCCTCTCGTTCATATTGTCCCCACTTCCTCCCTGCTGAGGTCAGAGGTCGTGCAGGAATGAGGACGGAGGTGGTTAAGGGGACGACACAGACTGATGGTGGACGCTGGGCGTCAGGGCTGTCGGGTGGTAGCAGTGACAGATCACCTCACTGTAGGTTGTTGGAGCTTCGTCTACTGGAAAGCCCGGCTGCTGCTGCCGGGACGAGGCCCTGGAGGGGGGGATGTACTCAGACCTGATGAAAGGTTAATTTACTCTCAGGTGACGGCTTCACTGCGTCCTACGGAAGAGGATTAGGGCAACTGAAAAAAAGAAATTTTGGTTTCTGATTTTTTTTTTTTCACGCTGAGGCCTTCAGTTTGTCAGGTGCAGCAGCTCACCTGAGTGACTGCACTTATCTATCGCCTTATTGGTCTTCTGACCTTTTTACATATCAACATTCACCCAGAGATGATTCTCTCACACTCAGCTGTGCCTTCAGGAGCATTTTAGACCCGTCCAGTTCGGCATCAAACCACCGACAGCGTGTTTGCTGAACCTCCGGCCTTATTCAGGACAAAGTTTGGACCACAGAGTTTTAAAATCTCATCCTGCATTTCATCCGGCTCACAGGAAGTAGACTGCTCTCATCGACCTGACATCAGCTTCCTGTTTCAGACGTCGCTCTCCTCCAGGGTTTGAACGTCTCCAGCGCTACATTAACCAGCAGCAGCTCTGATGCTGATAAAGGTGTCGGCCGTGCGTTAAGGCAGACCTGTTTCTATCATAAAGACGTACATCTATGTGTTTAATGTCGGGTTTCCTGTGTTCCCGCTGGGCGCCACTCCCTAAACAAACAACCAAATTTATGGATGCACTTAAAGAAAAGGGATCGAGAATACGAGCGTGTTTGAGAAGGAAGGAGAATATGTCGGTTGTAGAGTCGACTGTTAGTGTGTCTCAATCCTCCACCAGGAATCAGCGTGTGTGTCAGCGTGGTTATTTTTCCGTTTCCGTGGGAACTCTTTACCTCGTCCGTATTTCAGGCCGCCGGCCTCGCCTCAAACCACTGTGTCAGTAAAACTCCTTAAAACCTGTTTTTTGTTGTCTCAGCTAAAAATGCTTTGTGTAATTCACACGTGACAAATTTTTGTATCAAAAGCATTTTCATATAATAAAGGTTCTATTTTAAGGAATGATGCGTGTTTGATTTGAAGGTCTGTGAACTACGGTGGCCCTGAAGGTCAACTGCGAAAACTTTTCCTAAAAACGCAAAAAAATGTAATTAAAGCACGACTTAAATGATAAAGGTATCTTACTATCTGATCAGACATTAAGGAAACATGTTGAAGTGCTGGCTTCTCTGACAACAATGCAGCAGCCAGTATGTCCTCCTTCTAACTTTAGATTCTGCTCCTGAATGCTCTGGATTTGTTTGGACCAGAGAAGGTAGGCGCTTTAAGACACGCCCCCACACAAGCCCCTCGGTTTGTCAGATATGAGAGCAGTTATCAGGTCAACAGGTGTTGCAGCGATGGAAGCGGTCAAGAGAAGTGGTTCAGATAGAAGTGATTGTACCCGACCTAAAAAGCCTCTGCATGTTTCTAATAAGCTCCACGAGCAGAAACGTGCTCAAACTAGGATCAATATTGGAGATGCTTTTGAAAAATGGAGAGAGGTTAGAACACAGAAAGGTTTACAGACCCATGCAGAGCTGGATAAACACTGAAGCTTCAGAGTCCACCACATGGTGACCTGAGTGAGCATCCACTCTAGAGAGGAGGGGGAGGGGGAACAGCTCTCCATGATGTTTAGAATTCAGACTGCAGTACCCATTTTAAACAATAGGGGTCAGAGTTACATACTGCTCCTTTAAATGCAAAAACATTTTGTGAAACGTAAAATAAACATTTCACAAAATATTAAAGTGTAACAGGCCGTAGTGTAATGTGAGTTTGTGTGTCTCTCTCCAGGTGCAGCTCACTGATCACCTGTGCCCACTCTGCCGTCAGGGGGCGGAGCATAAAGAGCCGGAGGGAGTGGGCAGTCAGTGCCAGAGGACCATTTGGCTGCTGTGTTGCAGAAGAGTTTCTGAAGTCCTCACTGATCGTTGTTTTTCTTTGCAGGGGGTTGATTGTTGAAAGTATTTTGTTGTCGGCTTCTGAGAGATGAGATGAGATGAGATTCAACTTTATTGTCATTACACATATACAAGTATAGAGTAACGAAATGAGGTTTGGCATCTCACCAGAAGTGCAAATAAGCAGAAAGTGCAAGAGTCTGTGCTATGTACAGTAATTACAAAATCTACAGATGTAGACTAAAAAAAGTGAATTATTGGGTAAATCTGGATGGATTAATGGGATGCTATAAATATAAATATAAGTATATTCTTAGGATTATGATATACAGATTAAGGTGCAGTGAGCATGCTCTACTAGTTTACAGATAATATACAGAATATGGACATAATGTACAGCTCGATAACTTATTGAGGTGATATGAACATACTATAATACAATAATACAGGTGGATGAGAGATGTGTGTGTGTGACCAGGAGGAGTGGTGGGGGTGAGGTGATGTGCAGGGGAAGGGGGCTCAGCGGGGGGCGGAGAGAGAGAGGGAGACAGAGTTCGGAGTTCGGGGGGTAGAGTTCAGTAGAGAACAGCTCTGGGGAAAAAGCTGTTCCTCAGTCTGCTGGTTCTGGTCCGGAGGCTTCTGAAGCGCCTGCCGGAGGGCAGGAGGGTAAACAGTCTGTGGGCAGGGTGGGAGGAGTCTTTAAGGATGCCATGAGCTCGCTGCAGACAGCGTTTTCTTTGGACGTCCTCAATGGCAGGAAGTGGACACCTTGTGATGCGCTGGGCGGTTTTTACCACCTGCTGTAGCGCCTTACGGTCTGCGACAGAGCAGTTTCCGTACCAGACTGAGACACTGCTGGTCAGGATGCTCTCGATCACACAGCGGTAGAAGTTCATCAGTACAGCTGAAGACAGGTGGTGTCTCTTCAGTGTCCTCAGGAAAAAGAGGCGTTGATGAGCCTTCTTAACCAGACTGGAGGTGTTAGTGGACCAGGAGAGGTCCTCTGTGATGTGGGTCCCCAGGAACTTGAAGCTGGAGACACGTTCAACAACCATCCCGTTGATGTGAATGGGGTTGTGCGTGCTTCCTCTTTCTCTCCTGAAGTCCACGATGATCTCCTTCGTCTTGCTGGTGTTGAGGAGCAGGTTGTTGTCAGCACACCAGGCGGCCAGATGCTGTACCTCCTCCCTGTAGGCCGTGTCGTCGGTGTTGCTGATGAGGCCAATCACCGCCGTATCGTCCGCAAACTTGATGATGGTGTTGGATCCATGTACAGGTCTGCAGTCGTGGGTGAAGAGGGAGTAGAGGAATGGGCTCAGCACACAGCCCTGTGGTACGCCTGTGTTGAGTGTGATGGTGGTGGAGCAGGTGTGTCCTGACCTAACATACTGGGGTCTGTTGGTCAGAAAGTCCATTATCCAGTGACGGAGGGAGGTGTTGAAGCCCAGGTCTCCGAGTTTAGTGTTTAACTTGGAGGGGATGACAGAGTTGAATGCTGAGCTAAAATCAACAAACAGCATTCGTGCGTGTGTGTTGTTATTGTCCAGATGAGTGAGCACAGAGTGCAGCGCAGTGGAGACTGCATCCTCTGTACTCCTATTGCTGCGATAGGCAAACTGGAATGGGTCCAGTGTGGGTGGGAGGCAGTTTTTCAGGTGTGCTAGGACCAGTCGCTCAAAGCACTTCATTATGATGGGTGTGAGTGCAACAGGGCGGTAGTCGTTCAGGCCTGTCGGGCTGGAGTGTTTCGGCACTGGGACAATGGAGGTGGCTTTGAAGCATGCTGGCACAGCTGCTTGGGCGAGGGACAGGTTGAAGATGTCCGTAAAAACCCCAGTGAGCTGCTCCGCACATGCCTAAGCACGCGCCCGGGGGTGCCGTCTGGACCAGCAGCCTTTCGAGCGTTGATCCGGCTCAGTGCAGCGTGGACGTCTGTGGAGGTGAGTGAGAGGGGCTGGTTGTCTGCAGGAGGTCTGTTCATGGTCTGTGTCTCTCTGTTGTCTCTATCGAAACGAGCATAAAAGTGATTTAGCTCGTTCAGGAAGGAGACATCTGTGGTTATCGGGGTGGAGTTTCTGGGTTTATAGTCACTGATGGCCTGGATGCCCTGCCACATGCGTCTGGGGTCGGAGTTGGAGAAGTGCTCCTCTACCTTCAGCTTGTAGCAGTGCTTGGCCTTGATGATGCCCCTCCTCAGGTTTGCCCTGGATACGCTGTAGGCCATTGCATCATCTGATCTGAAGGCGGTGTTGCGGGCCTTCAGCAGGAGACGCACCTCCTTGTTCATCCATGGCTTCTGATTTGGGTACGTGGTGATCTGCTTCCATGTTGTAACACTGTCGATGGTGGTGTTGATATAATCCAGCACAGAAGAAGTGTAGGTGTCAATGTCTGTGTGAGAGCCCCAGGTAGCCTGAGAAGCAAACATACTCCAGTCTGTGTGATGGAACTTGTCCTGAAGTACAGAGTCTGTCCCCGCTGGCCACACTTTAATCGTTGTTACTGATGGCTTCACACGTTGGATGAGTGGGGAGTACTTGGGGATGAGGAACAAAGAAAGGTGGTCTGACTGTCCCAGGTGGGGGAGGGGGGTCGTGGTGTAGGCTCCTGCGATGTTTGTGTAAACATGGTCCAGAGTTTTGTTTCCTCTTGTGTTGCAGGAAACATGCTGGTGAAATTTAGGGAGCACTGTCTTTAAGTTTGAGTGATTAAAATCACCTGCAACTATAAATGCAGCCTCCAGGTGAGCAGTCTGTTGTTTACTGATAGCGGTGTAAAGTTCCTTCAGAGCAGCTTTAGCATCGGCATCAGGGGGGATGTAGGCTGCAGTTACAATAGTGGAGCTGAGCTCCCTTGGCTGATAGAAAGGTCTACATTTAACCATGATGCAGCCACCATCTCTTTAGTTGTTGGTGTTTTCTAAAAGAAGCTTGTTTTTGGTCGTGAAGATTTTCTAATTCTGTAAATTAATTATTTTTAAATACAGTATGCCTATACTTAGCTCCTCCTTCTTTTCCCTGTAGGTTTTACTTTTATTTTTTTTTACTCCCCTCATTCGCAGGCCATCTACAGATGTTCTCATTGTGAACGTGTTATTTCAAACCTTAGTTGTCATGTAAATAACGTCAATAACTCTGCCTTTATTACCTGTATTAGTCGTTAATCAGCTGTTAGAGAGGCGCTGACGTCATCCTTAGCTCATTGGGAAAAAACAGATTTAAAAAAAAAAAAAAAAAAAGTGGGCTCGTCCGGGATTTGAACCCGGGACCTCTCGCACCCAAAGCGAGAATCATACCCCTAGACCAACGAGCCACTGTGCAAAATGGAAAAGAGGTATGAGAATTAAACGTCACTATACGTCACTGTTGGATTATGTGTGGTTAAAGACCGCCCCCTAGTGGTCAAACACGGAAAGGACATTTGATTGAGTTTGAAGCAGATTCTTCTTCTTCCGCTTCTTGTCGGTCTGTGATAAAACAAAACTTCATTTTGATCCAGTTAATATTACAATATAAAAATGTTCTTATATGATATTCACTGAGCTGAAACACGTCAGAAAAATAAATAAATGAATCAGAGTTTTATTTTACATCATATCAGATCCATCAGACTTTAATTGATTTAATCATAAATATAAATATAAAATCTCACACACTGTTTTTTTTAAATATTTTTGTATTGTCCCTCTTGAGACGCTTCCTTCTTTGACCTTTTATTTACTGTTTTTTGTTGTTGTTTACTTCGTCGTTTCAGTGCTCATCTATCTAAAAAACGTCCCCATAAATACGACATAATTGTGTAAATATCAAGTGTGAGAACTTTGATAACAAACTAAAAAAGGCAGTAAAAAAAAATATAATCCAGATTTCAGTGAACATGTGTCTAACGTGTGTGAACGATTTCTCCTTCAGACTGATTTGAGTAAATAACTTTACCTAATTGAACATGTTTGAACACTTTTATCTTTAATACCTGCTGCTCTGGTTTCAAATAATCCAATCAATGAACGTTAATTATTACACACTGATTTATTCATCAGTCTGTTGAGGCCCCTCCAACCAGAGTCAGTGCTGTCAGATGGGGCCCCATTAGGGAGTTTTCCATTACAAAATGTGT